CTGCGCCACCGCCTCCAGCCTCGGCCTCCGCCCATCTCCGCTCTGCCTCCGCCCACTTCCCGGTCCACCTTCGCCCACCTTCGCCCACCTCCCTCTGTCCCCGCCCACCTCCCGTCTGCCTCCCCCCGCCATCTCCTCTCTCTCTTTCCTCCCCCGCCTCCGCCACTTGTCCTCCACCTCCGCCACCTCCCGTCCGCCTCTTCCTGCCATCTTCTCTCCGCCTCCACCACCTCCTGTCCGCCTCCACCCACCATCTCCTCTCCACCTCCCATCCGCCTCCCGCCATCTCCTCTCCACCTCCCATCCGCCTCCCGCCATCTCCTCTCCACCTCCCATCCGCCTCCCGCCATCTCCTCTCCACCTCCCATCTGCCTCCCGCCATCTCTTGCCATCTCCTGTCCGCCTCCGCCATCTCCCCTCCGCCTCCGCCACCTCCCTTCCGCCTCCTCCCGCCATCTCCACCTTCGCTCACCTCTGCTCTGGCCTCCGCTCCGCTGCCCGCACATCCGCCATCCCCTGCCCGCCTTTAAAAAGAAAAACAAAAAAGAAACAGTGTGCCAATCTCTCCTCAGCCTTCGCCCACCTCCCCTTGGCCAGCACCGACCTTCTGTTCTCCTCCGCCTCCGCCTACCTCCCTCCCTCATCGCCAATCTCTCCTCAGCCTTCGCCCACCTCCCGTCCACCTCCTCCTGCCATCTCCTCTCCACCTCCGCCACCTCCCGTCCACCTCCTCCCGCCATATCCTCTCCGCCTCCGCCACCTCCCGTCCGCCTCCTCCCACCATCTCCTCTCCGCCTCCTCCCACCATCTCCTCTCGGCCTCCGCCCACTTTTCCTCCACCTTCACTCACCTCCGCTCTGGCCTCCGTTCCGCTGCCCGCACATCCACCATCCCTCTGCCCTTTTCTCCACCTTCGCTCACCTCCGCTCTGGCCTCCCTTCCGCTGCCCGCAGACCCGCCATCCCTTTGCCCGCCTTTAAAAAGAAAAACTGAAAAAAACAGTGTGCGCCCACCTCCCCTCGGCCAGCGCCGACCTTCTGTCCGTCTCCGCCCACCTCCCTCCCGCCATTGGGATCGCCAATCTCCCCTCAGCCTCCGCCCACCTCCCGTCTGCCTCCTTCCCCCATGTCCTCTCTCTTTCCTCTCTGCCTCCACCACTTCTCGTCCACCTCCGCTCACCTCTGCTCTGGGCTCCGTTTGTCTGCCCGCATCCCGCTGGACATACCATTGCCTGCCCCTTTTTTCTTTCCTTTTTCAACAGTGCGCGCCTACCTCCCCTCGGCCTCCGATGACCTCCTGTCAGCCTTCACCTACCTCCCTTCCGCCATTGGCATCTCCCATCTCCACTTGCCCTCTGCCCACCTCGCGTCTGCCTCCTCCCGCCATCCGCTGCACATCCCGCTGTGTGCTCCAACCTCCCCTCGGCCTCCGCTGACCTCCTGTCCACGTCTGCCCGCCTCTCCTCCCCCCCCTACCTCTGCCCACCTTCTCTCCGTGCGGCAAAGACGATTCCTTGGAGGGAGGGAGAGAGAGAGAGAGAGAGAGAGAGAGAGAGAGAGAGAGAGAGAGAGAGAGAGAGAGAGAGAGAGAGAGAGAG